AGACTACTGGGAAGTCGGCCCCATATATCAAGGCAGCACAAATAATTCAGCATAAAGCAGCTTGGTTCCTGTAGCCTGGCATTAGGATAAGTATATCTTAAGAAAGTTCTTACGCAGACTTGGCTTCAGGCAATAAAACGTCATAGACGTATAACTGTAGCAAGCGAAATTTCTAGGGAGCAAATTAGGCTGAAAACATCTTCTAGAGACAGCTAGAAAGGAATCGTACACCACCCCAAAATAAGGCAAGTTATGCAGTAAATGTTTCATTTATTGGCCTTCTTCCATTACTATTAGGGTTAAAAGACATCTTGTCAATAAGAAAGGTGTATTCATGGAGGACTGATGCCTTTCGAAAAGCAGCTGCTGTCACAAATGCCTATAGCAGTTCACATTGCCTTCTGTTGGCAGGTGATGAAACCATACAAATGCATACATCTTTCCATTAACCCTTGGATCATCAGGCATTATTGTCACTTTATTATTCAGACCTGTTATTAGCGGAAGCAAGGTGATCAAGCCAGGTACTTGAGGAAAATGCCAGAACAGACAGCATTCCTTGGGGTTTCCAGAGGAGTGTGGAAGCCTTCTTGAATCTCTTGACAGAACCACTGGCAAAGGGGATGGGACTGGGGTGGGTGAAGATGAGGAGGAGGAGATGACTATGAAGTGGAATCCTTTCTGCCTATTCCTTTCTCCTGCTAAGATGGAAAACTCTCTGGTGTCTGACTTTCAGTATTCCTGTTTGTCTAAGGGAGCCGTTTTCTCGAGGTCCAAAGGAGCCATCACCCACATAGAACAAAAAGCAAACAGAAAATCTCACAGTGGAATCAGGACTTGGGCTTCTAAACATTTCCCCATTTTATAGCTTCCTTATGTTTTCAGATTTTTTTTTTTTTTTGGCTTCCCTCAGCATACTCCCTGCATAAGTAAGTCCCACACAGCGGGTAACAGAACTTCCATCTTGAAGTCAAGGTCTTTAAAGAAAAATCACACAGGCACACAGACAAACACACGTACATATCACTGTCAAGGGTAATTTAGTAGAATCTTGCCACGCGATCAGGAGGGCGTTGAATATGGTTGTCAATACGTATTCCCTCCTTCTGGTGAATGTGAGCAGACCATCTTAGCTTCTCAGAAACTCCAAAGCCAAGCTTCCAAAGTTGTTGTGTCCCTTTGCTGGTGTGCTGGTGAGTCACTTAACATAACTAGGGTACAGTGATGGACTCCATGGATGCTAAAAAGGATTTTAAGAAAATAATTTCATCTAACAATGTCACCTGCCAGGTAAGGCAGGTCTAAGGGTCCCCAGGAGACAAGGTCTACAGCCAGTTTCCTTCTATAGTCACCAGCAGACTTACATTCCCATACAGCAGTGGGTACCTAACACGCTACCAGAACTCCCCCATGAGGCACCAAAGCCCAAGAGACCATTGATGTAAAACTACCTTTCTTTTCATACTCACTGATGGAGAGGAACAAGGAAGGAACCTGGAGATGTAACTGAAGGCAAAATGCAGGTTACTAAGATCAACCAGGAATCCTTAGGCCCGACGGCTGACGGTAAGATCATTGGTTTCAATGTAATCAGAAGCATTTTGGAAGACAGGCCTGAGAATCTTTAAAGTCAGCCACTGAAAATTTTACGGAGCATAGTTCTACTTTAACACATATGGCATTGCCATGATTCAGAATCGACTTGATGGCAACTGGTTTGGTCTTTTTGGTTTTGTTTTGGCACTATTAACCTGTTTCAGAGAAGGGCTGAATAGGCTCTGAAGAAGACCAGGCACCAAGAAGTGAAGTGGCAGCAGAAGGGGTGAAAAGGAAGAGACAGGGAATGGTCTACTTACTGGTTCAGCACCTGGACTGGCCCCAGGAAGGCGCTCCGAAAGATCAGGTTCTAGCTCATCTGCCCACAGCCCCTGCTCTTGACAAGGCCACTGTGGCAAAAAGTCCTTGACTCAGTACTTTAGTCTGGTTTCCTTCTTGTGCTTTCAGAATCCTGCTATTTGGGCAGAACTCTTGGCCCAGTAAACTAGATTTCATTAGTCTTTAGAGTGAGAATTTGCCTCAACACCTGGACACAAGCCACCTGTTATTTAAAATTTCACACCAAATTTAAATAAGACATGTCCACATTGTGGGCCAGCCTGACTTTTTCTGAATATTGTATTACTTTGTTTCTTGCCAATTATAGGCCCTCATTTCCCTCCCTCCTGATACCACCTGTAGCCCTTCCAAGGACTCAGCGGTTATGAACCCGCCGAGGGCTTGCTGGTCTCCCCAAGCCTTTTTATGGCACTGAAGCTATGAAATTAAATACGGCTCCTGTGCTACTATTGACTGACTTTTAATTGCTTATTTAAATCAGAGGTTTAAATAAGGAAAGATTTTAAGAGTTCCCTTTGAATGAGGAAAAAATAAGGATATGTCAAAATGGAGGAAGTTCTCAATCTTCAGAAGAAAGACCTTTGGTATTTACATATGACAGAAATGCATGTCAGGACATTTAAAACCATTAAGAACACTTAAAAATTTTCAGTTTGGCATGTTTATGGGCTTTTATTATACAGGTAAATTCCTCATGTGGTGCTGTAGGATAAACATTGAATTGCAAAGTTGACTGAACTGTAAAGTCGGGGGTTCAAGCCCACCAGCTGGCTCCTTGGAAACCCTATGCGGTGTCGCTATGAGTCAAAACCAGCTTGACGGCACTTAACAACAACAATACAGGTAGTCCTAAAAAGAACTTAGAAAACCTCATTATCCAACTTAGTTCAGATCAAGGTTAGATTTAAAATAAAACAAAACAAAACCTACCACTGCACAGGACAAAGAAATTGCCATAAAATTGAGTTACTATAAATGTGTTCCAGCTTAAGTAAATAAGCCCTTAAAACGGGCCTTAGGAAAGTCTACACTGTATCTAGACTCAGGCACACCAAGTATACAGGTGATAATTAGCCAGTTATGGTCATTTTGCTAAATGTGTCAATCTAAAAGCAAGCAAGTCAAAAGACCTAAAAAAGGAAACTACTAAATCTATTTGTACATGGATTTAACAGTGAAGTATTTCATTCTTCATGTTTTTACTTGGTGTCTTGAAATAATCTCCTTTCTGTCTCCCCACTCTCTTTTAGACACGGTGCCCACCTTATTTATTTATGAAGTCTGAAGGTTAGTCTTACCTGCTGAGACTAATTAGTCCTGTGGTTTGTATCCTATGCAATCCTGTCTGATTACGTAAATGTACACATTTGTTTGACTTCTTTTCAGGCCTCTTCCCACTCTACTTCTGATTTTCTGATTAATATTAAAGTTGGGAGTAATAGTGATTTTGCTTCTTCTCTCCCACACTGTCTTTATTGTGCCTGCATCTTACTCTTTAGTGTGCAAATGTGATTGTGGTCGTCCCTCCCTCCGGGTCCCAACAGTACAGGGGAATTCTTGGTCTTGTCAATTTCACTATCCTTAGCTTTAGTAGTGCAGTCTTCTTTCTGAGATCTTAGCCTATAGAACAGTTTTGCTGAAACCCCAAATTCTAAATATTACATGGTACGCTTGCTTTCTTTTGGAAACCTTAGTTGCTGATGGGCTAGCTGAAGAGCAGGTGAGCTTTTTCAGAGAAAGGTGGAATAACTTAGTACATCGTGGGTTTCTGACCACTACTGCTCCTGATAATAGACAATTTGGTAATTCCGATTTTTTTTTGGGTCGCTTTTTCAAGTGGTAGTTTCCAGTCGACTTTGCATTGGAGGTTTGCAGGAAAACGAGTGTTCTTGCTTTAGCATCCAGGAACACAACCGTTTCTCTTTTAACATAATTTCTTTCCTCATTTTGTAGCACATCCATGTGCTCCCGGGGCGAATGTCTACAAAACAATATGTGCTTCAAACCCCAGGTCTTCCAGCCTGGGTTTGGTTTGCAAGTTCCTGCCACAACCTTTTCTACATCTTGCTTCTTTGGTCGCGTCTTTCAGGGATTTCAACTCATACCCCACAAATCCCAGGGGTTGGGGAACTTTCAGTTTTATTTTCCCCAAGTTAACGCCCAAACTTTTCACCTCCAAAGTCAGAGAGGACTTTGAATTCCAGCTCATTTCCTACCACCTCCAACGTCAGTTTAATAGAAAACAAGATACATAGACACAGATATAACTCTACATCGAAAACAATAGTGTATTTTCCCCCTCTTTAAGAATATTTTTAATGGCAAACAAGACAGTATTGGATTGCTTTTTAGATAGAAAGTCAGTTTAGCCTATTTATTCTGGTGAGATTTCACATTTAATCCAATGATTCACCCTTAGTAAACAAAAAAGGGAAAAACCTCGTGGGTTCATAGTTTCTTTAACTGTGGATGATCAGGGACTTTGGACAGCCCCTCCACTTCCCCAAGCTCTCTGAAAGCGCAGGGGTGACTTTTCTTTTTGGCCACTACTGCTACGTCCTGCCCAAGGGTGGCTGGTTTCCCTACTCAATTAGCCACGAAGCACGCCCCCCTCCCCCAATATCCCTCCTTTCTCTACCCCCGACTTCGACTTATTTCTAATATTTCCAAAGTGCACTTTTTACTGGGCCTCTCCCCATCCCCGCCCCCCAAGTGGGCTTTCCTTCCGCCAGGCTCAGTTCGGATTCCTGACTCGGTCGCCACCCCTTCCCTCCTCTCCCACCCCGCATTGTCTTTCAGAAACCGCCCCCCTCCTCCGGGAGCGAGTGCCTCAACCTAGGCCCCGACTTCAGGCCTCGCCCCCTGCACACTCCTCCCTCCGCTCGGCCCCCCTCCTCCCCGCCCCTCTCCCTCCTCCCGCTCCCGGCGCCCGAAAGGATCATTGTTAGCCGCCCCCGCCCCGCCCACCCCGGCTGTTTATTTATGCAGACGTCACCGGGATGGCCCCGCCCCCAGCATCTCATTAAGGCGAGTGTGTTCCTCTCGCCCTGTCAATAATCTCCGCTCCCAGACTACTCCGTTCCTCCGGATTTCGATCCCCCTTTTTCTATCTGTCAATCAGCGCCGCCTTTGAACTGAAAAGCTCTCAGTCTAACTTCAACTCACTCAAATCCGAGCGGCACGAGCTCCTCCTGTATCTTCGGCTTCCCCCCCCTTTTGCTCTTTATATCTGACTTCTTGTTGTTGTCGGTGTGTGTGTGTGTGTGTGTGTGTGTTTTTAACCCCCTTTTTTATTTATTATTTTTTTGCACATTGATCGGATCCTTGGGAACGAGAGAAAAAAGAAACCCAAACTCACGCGTGCAGAAGATCTCCCCCCCCTTCCCCTCCCCTCCTCCCTCTTTTCCCCTCCCCAGGAGAAAAAGACCCCAAAACAGAAAAAAAAAAAGTTCACCTTGGGTTCGTCTTTTTCTTGCAATTGTTTTTTTTGGGGGGGCAAAACTTTTGGGGGTGCTTTTTTTTTTTTTTTCTTTTGGCTTTTCTTCCTCCATTTTTCTTCCAAAATTGCTGCTGGTGGGTGAAAAAAAAAATGCCGCAGCTGAACGGCGGTGGAGGAGATGACCTAGGCGCCAACGACGAACTGATTTCCTTCAAAGACGAGGGCGAGCAGGAGGAGAAGAGCTCCGAAAACTCTTCGGCAGAGAGGGATTTAGCTGATGTCAAGTCGTCGCTAGTCAATGAATCAGAAACGAATCAAAACAGCTCCTCCGATTCCGAGGTAGGAGAAGCCCCTTGGGCTGGTGGGCTCTGCTAGGCTCCGGGCTTGACCAGAGGCGAGGGTTGGAGAAGCCGGGGTCCGGGGCGGCGGGCCGGGCGGGCGCGGGGCGCGCGGTGCCTCCATTGCACCAACTTTAACCCTGTCTTTCTTTCTCCGCACCCCCACCTTGGGGGTGCCGCTTCTCCCCTGCGTCCCCCTCCCCGTGGCGTTTGCCCCTCGCCTCTCCACCTTCGCCCCTCCGGGCAGGCGGAAAGACGGCCTCCGCCGCGCTCCGAAAGTTTCCGAGACAAATCCCGGGAAAGTTTGGAAGAAGGTGAGTACGCCCCGCGCGCCCCGCAGCCGCCCCGCGCACCCCGGCCCCGCTCGGCCCGGCTGTGCGCCGGTCTTGCCGGGGCGCCGGGCCCGAGGGCCACTTTCTAAAAAGTTTCTCCTTGCTCTGTCTCCCGCTCCGCGCGGCCGCCGCCGTCCCCTGGTCGTCCCGCCATGTTAGCGGCAAAGAGGCAAGATGGAGGGCTCTTTAAGGGGCCACCGTATCCCGGCTACCCCTTCATCATGATCCCGGACCTGACGAGCCCCTACCTTCCCAACGGATCGCTCTCGCCCACCGCCCGAACCGTAAGTGCAGCGCCCGGCCCCCGCCGCCCGCCCCGCATGCGGCCCCGGCCCTGCCCCTCCCCCCTCCCGCTCCTCCCCCCTCCCCTCCCCCGCTCGTGGCCCAGGCTGCCCGAAACTCTCCAAACTTTTCTGCCTTTTGTGGACTGGATTTGTTTGCACTTCGCCATGTTCTTCCTTTCAGTTTGCTGCCTCGTGATGTTGGGGAGCCCTTTCTTTCCAAGCAGGGCTTTGTTGGGGGTTGGGGGGAGACAAATGAGCAGAACTTTTTTTGCGCTGTGATTCCTCCCTCCCTCCTCCCCCTTGGTGTTGTTTGCTTCTTCGCCTTGGGAAGACGACTGTGTGGCTCTTTCTTCTCTCTCTCTCTCTCTCTTTTCCTTCCCTCTTCTGTGGCGTCTTGGGCTTTCCCCGGTTAACCCCTTGGCTGCCGCTGTCGGGGACCGTGGACGGGGTTGTGTCCGCTGCGCGGGTTGGATGGTGGCTTGGCTTCAGGCGGTGGACTGGAGTATTCTGGAGCGCGCGGAGACCGGGGCCCTGGGAGAGCACGTCGGCTCCGTCGGGCGGTTGTTTGGCCTTCCAGTTGCGATCGCTGGCTCGCAGCCCTCCACCCCCCACCCCCCCATTCCCTGGAAGGTCACACTTCCCAGACTGGTCCCACAGTCCACTTGGAAGCCCTGGGCCTCCTTTCTGTAGACCGTACCACAGGCCGCGAGCGCCCTGGGCGCCGTAGCGGAGGGAGGGCTCGGCTACAGGGCGTGCTAGTTGCGGGCTCTCGCTGGCCGTGCGGGGCGCCGGGACGGCGCAGGGTGGGGTGCCCCAGTACTGGTGTGCATGCGGCCGAGATGACCTCTTGAGAAGAGTTGATGGATTTCTAAGGAATTTTAGTGCCTTGGGGTGGTAAAGCGGGATCTGCACTAACCAGCTTCCAAGCAGGCCCTCCATGGGCCTGGGGGGACAGAGACACGGTTTACGGAATTAATGAGGGTACAGGGAATGAGGGAGGCCAGGGGCACCTCTAGTTCCAGGAAGTGGGCTGTTGAACATAGGCCATCCAACTTTGAAGGCCCCTGGGCTGCGCAGGGTGCCAGGTTCCTGGGGGGCGCTTCCTGCAGCATTTGCCCCAAGCCCACCCCTGACATTTGATAATAAGACTCAGTTCCTCCCCCCACCCCCCAACGGCCTCTGCACGCCGCCCTCACCCTGAACCTCTTTCCCTTATCCCAGTCGCCTCCAAAAAACCGGAATTACGAATCTCTAAACACCAGACTTTTATGCCCGGCTTCCCGAGATTGTCACTTGGCACCTTTGCGGGTTTGGCCCCCTCGATTCCTTATTTACACACACTACTTTTGTTTTATTTCTTAACCTGTAACTCGAGATAGCAATTGGAAATAATGCACCCACTGTTAAGCAGCCGTGGACTCGGTGCTAATGGCCGAGGGCTTGCCGGACGGGAGTCGATCCGATCTACAAGTGTCTTTTAGCATTAAAATATTAACTTATCGGGTTCGACTTGTTTTTTGGGAACCTGGCAAACTGGCAAGGGCATGCTAGACCGGTCATTTTTCATGGCCAGGAAAGAGAAATAATGCTCCCCCTGGCCCCCACTTGCGCCCCCGTCCTGCATGCTTGGGTAGCTGGGAGAATGTTTCATCCCTACCTCCTCTTTGCAGGGCCAGCTCCTTCAGGCTCAGCTGCGGAGCAGTGGGGCTGCAGTTGTAGAGGCAGGCATTTCAGCCCGATTACTTTGTATTTTCCTTGGGAGCTTGTGGGCATCTTAGACCGGGAGCTTTCGATTCAGAATCGGAGGGATTGTGTACTAGCAAACCCAGCCGAGAGCAACATTCCAAAGTAACCCCGATCATTTCTTGCTCATCTCGCTACCCCCCCGCCGTCCATGGAAGCCTTCACTGAAATGATTTAAAAATCCACTTAGCCATCCGAAGGGCCATCTGAATATTGAGCCTTGAGGGCGAACTTGCTGGCTTTCTTGTCTCTTTTTCAAATTTCCTGGCTCTGACCACTTGCAGTCTTGCCATACCATCTCCCCAAACTTGAACAGTTGTCTTTTGCTGTCATTAGGATACAAGGAAATTGTAAAAGGCAAACAAATGATTTCCGAATGCCAAAAGGAAGGCTTCCAACAGTCATTCCCCCTTTGTGGGCATTATAGGAGTAGAGGGCGTCTAGTTATTTTAATTGTGAGCCTAGCGGGTGGCCTTGTGCTGTGACATCAGATGGGAGTCTGAAAAGACATTTCTGAACTCAGTCGGCAGTTTTAGTATTTGCATGTCAAACATCAACAGACATTTCTGTGCTGCTCATATACTTCTCCTTCTTTCTTTTTGCTACCTGGGTTAGATGATGTACTCCAAAATTAAAGTTATTTATTTAGGCCGGTAAACAGAGCAGTGGTGATGTGGGCAATAACTGGTGTGTCACTTCTTATGTCTTCCATCTGAGGACCAGCATGCAATTCCAGATTTGATACAGCTGCCAAGGAATCTATAAGCAAGATAGGTCCTTTCTTGCTCATCCGAAATTCTTGGTGCTCTGTAGGGCAAGGTAGCATAAATTAGCAGTCTGCTTTATTCTTTTCCCGGTTTGCCTTCTTGGTGGTGTTTTTTGCTGCATTTTCTGTTTAGGAGAATACCTGTAAGCAGCTACTTCCTTTTAAACAAACGGTTTGGAACCCTGATTTCTGCTTTTCTATTTGAGAAGGTAAAGAATTAAAGAGTATTATTAAATCGGCTTATGATGAATAATACATTATTTCAAGAATAATGATTTAATTGGTGAAGACATCATAAAGCCTGATCGTTAATTATTTTGTTTTAAAACGACAAAGATTTTGGCACAACATTTATTTAGTCTTTGATGCAGTAATAGGAATGGCTGTTAGGAAGACAGGTTCTACTGCAAAAATGCATGAAGGAAAGGTTTAGTTAAGCAGATGGGAAGAAACAGAACTACAAATATTGGAGATTTTGGAACGTTGGTGTACTAAAGATCAGAACACTGGTACGATATTAAAGTTGATAGGAGAAAGTGGATTTACATTTCTTTTTTCTGCTTGCCAAACCAGAAATAGGAGTAGGAATATGGCGATCGAAATTCCACTTAGGTGTGGAATTTCTTTTTAAGGGTTTGATTATTAGAGTCCTTGCATCTTTTATCCAAAGTTATTTGCTTTCCAACTGAGTTACTTGCTACTAGGTTGCACAAATAAATAAGCAGCATCTTGAATTCATTTTTGAACTTGGAATCCAGCATTTAAAGGAAACCAAGAGGGGCCTATTCATAGGGGTTTTATTTAGCCCCGGCAACTTCTCTTTCTGGCTTGTGAAAAATGGATGTTTTCTCCTGACTCAAACAACCTAATCCTTTCTAATACAAAAGCTTTAGGCCTTGGAGTGTGTGAAGGGTTAATGGTGGTCCTTCCCTGTTGTCCTCCCACCCCTACTGTCACCCCTGATTGTTTTGACAACACTTTTCAAAGTGTGACATTCCAAGTCCCTACATAACAATGTAATATTACTATAATTACACAGGTCATTACATTTTAAATAGAGAACAATAAAATGCTTATCGTCTTGAAAAAGAACAGGTGTTCTGGTCCTTCGCTGGTATTTATGCTAATTGTTTTTCATCTCCTTCAGAAATATTTATGGCAAGCATGTTTAGGTTGTGGCCTCAATGCAACATTATTAATTCTGTGCTAATCTTTATAGGTTGGGGTTTCATGTCTGCAGTATGGATTATGGGCTCAACATTTCACCCAATAAGTCCTGTTTTAATGATTATAAATTTAATTATGTCCAGTGCTGTATAGTTTGTTGACATTAATGCCTTCAGAAACCCTAGAAACAAACTGTTTTGCAGTTAGGCACCTAAAGTGCTTTATCTGGAAGAAGTGTTTTTGGAAACTTTTGACTGCTTAGGGGAAGTACCTTTGACTGATGCCCCTATTCTAATGATGGTGAAAAGGCTCTGAGGAAAACAATCCGGATTCTCGCTAGGCTTTTTCACCTTGATTTTCCTGTTACTGATAGGGATTTTCATTTAGAGTCACTGCTGGGAGTTGGTCAGCTTTCTGTTTCTTAGCAAGCTGTGAAAAAGTTATAGGAAGGTTTCCGGGGGCTTTGCGGAGCAACAATGCTGTTATGTTAGCAGCTCAGGATAACTGCAGTCCTGCACACCATTAAAAAAAATACTTGCTTTAGAAAAACGAGCATTTTAATAGTTGCACTAGAGGCTGCGCTTTTCAAGATGACAGCAGACGTTTTTCCAGGGCGGGAATAACCTCCTTACACCCCATGAGGTGGCCTGGTGCAGGCAGGAACTGCATAGATTTCCCGGTTGAGAAATCCTGGTGTAACTTCTCTTCTACATGCGCAGTGGGTACGCAAGAAGCAGGTTACTAAGAGGATTTTACAGTTTGTCGGGTGTTTCACTACGGGGCCCCGAACCACATTAAAAATGCACTGAAGAGAAAGGACAGCTGCAAATTTCTGTGTGGATGGGTGTTTCTGGACCATGACTAAAACTCAGAGGACCTTTTCCCCAGCTGTCTGGAAGTTCTGTGGAAGTTAGTTTATTGGCAGTTAAGTATGAGACAACCTGCATTTAGCAAATGCTCTCTCCTGCACAGGAAGTAGATGACATATTGGGGGAAGGGAAGAGACTTCAGGCAAGGAGTGATTTACTCTATTATTATTATTTTTTTAAACCGTGGAGTTGCCAAATAAATAAGCCCTTTCCAAGGAAGTAGGTGTAAGCTTTTTAGTCTTGGTAAGCACAACTAGATAACATCTTTAACCACACTTATAACTGTTTCGAGGTGTCACATTTGAGAAGTCTTGAAAAGGGAGGGGTGAATCAAATTCTTGAGGCTTTGATTTCTGGAAGGGGGTATGTGATGTGGCTGTCTGAGTTTCTTTTGGGAATGGATATTGGCAAATGTGTAAGTCAGTCTTAAACTCGAGACTCAGAACTGAGCACAT